GAATCCCTTCAGAAACATGCAGGAATGAGCCAAAGATCAGCAGCAAACCTGTTCCTGCCTGCTTCCAACCTGACAGATGGCTGGTGCTACTACTAGGCTGGGGGTGGGGGAGAGATTAACAGCTTTTCTTTAATTTCTGCCGACTGTTCTCCTTCCCCCCTCCTCCCTGCCTCCTGTATTACAAACATCCCTCAGGCTGCCCCAGAATTAACTCCTGTGACCCACAGGTTGCATGCAATCATAGGCACAGGTCACACAATCACTCACTCCGCCTTAGTTCAGCACACGACATAGGACCTGATATTAAATTCTCTTTGCCGAATCCTTGAACTTAGATGACTCCAGAGATCCATTCCAGCTCAATTTTCTGTAATTTGGAGACTCTCTCCAGCACAGTCCAGGCCTATGAATCTATCCTGAACTCACACAGGTCTGGCCATTCACAAATAACCCTTCCAGCAAATCATCCCATCTTCATAAAGTAATCCCTCAAGCTGAGCATCCCTAACAGTGTCTGGGCTGCCATTTACTCCCTGCAGAGTTGTCTGGATCTACAGAGATTTCTCATGTCCTTGTCTGTGGTAGTGTGAGCACCGAGATATGTTCAGAGCCCTGCTAGCTGTACCATACCTGTTTGGGCTGTAACAAAGGTTGCTCCTGGCTCCTGTGTTCCAGGGAATGGGACTTCAGTTTTGCTTGCTGCAGTAAAGAAACAGAACAAAAGATAAGCAGAGGGATTAGCAGCAAAATTAAAAATGACTGACTGCTGGCTTTGGAGAGGCCATGGGAAACACAGTCCCCTCCTCTCTTATAGCCCGCTCCAGGCACTAGAGAATTTGGAGAGCAGGAAAGCATAGCAAACCGAAAACACCCCAAGAAATTTGCTTTCTATATACCGAGACATCACTCCTATAGTTATGCAAAGACTTGTCACAATTACATTTGCCTTCAATGCTGCTATAAGTCCTCTGCTAACACAAAGGACATCTTAAGAATCAAGACCAAAAATGAATTATTTTGCCTTACTATAAATAACTCATCAGCCTACCAGTATCTAAAAAAAGGGCCAGAAACGGTGGGAGGCACACTGTATTTTTAAATTATGTAAACATTTTTCAGCTTTGGGAAAATAAAGCATGTAGATTATGTTCTCCCTCAAACTTTTCCAGCTCCCAGCTACGATTGCCAAGTAAAATAAAGCGATAACTAATCAATTTTAAAGGCAACATCATCAAAACTGATTTAAACAAAAAAATTGTTACCCCATCTGTTAATATCGAGGGCTCAAAGCTATAGAACATAAGCGAGGTCAAGGCTGTCTGGAATTGCAAAATTGCATGAATGCCAACATACATTTAGAATTCCACTATCCAGCCTAAAAATTCAGCTTAAGGACCTTCCAGGACTATATCCTTAACAGATATCAACCCTCTTGCCTCACAACATCAGTCAATTCTGAGCTGCAATAACCAGAGGTGGGAAGGAAGTGGCCTCTTGAGCTTGTCAGTGTGTGATGGTCTGTTCTGCAGGCCTTGCTCTGCTCCTCTCCTGCTGCTACTTGCGTAAGGCACAGGGAGATCAATCACACCCTCCAGGCACAGAGAGGGAGCAAAAAAGTGCTGAGAGCCAGGGCTGCTTGTTTACTCGCTCTCTGACCCCCCAAGTCTGAATCAGAGACATATTCCAGACACGAAGTCTGCTCGATCCTTCTTATCCCAAATGCAGGCAGTCACCATCTCTGCAAGGGAGATTCGAGCATGCTGTACAACAGCAGCTCATGAGACAACACACTATCTGCAGTGATATGCCTTGACTTTTTGGCTTAAACAGTCTTATGAAAAAAGATAAATGATTGCTGGAGAAGGATGACATAACCAGACAGGTGAAAAAGCAGCAGAAGAATTCATCTCTTGGTTTTATTTAATGAAATAGTTTTCTCTGCTCAGCTGCATGCCTATGGGCAGGTGGGGAGGTCAAAGTCTGGCACAGGGGCAGTTAAGATACGGACACAAAGATCCTTCTGCAGTGGGTACCACTCTCTCACGCCTCCCTGAGCAACATACAGTGCGTTTACATACGGCAAAACTCCCCTGAACCGATCACAAGCTTGTTTTCCTTTGCATGCAACAGATGCATTACGTTAGCGCATCTGCGTGTGTCTGATAACACGCCCGCTCGATTATCCAACACATCCCGACCCTGTGTGACACTCATCTGAACACAAAATGTGCCATCAACAGACGTCAGCAGCTAAAGTGAAGGCACATACGCAGCCATGCCCGCCCCCACCCCCCCCCAGAGGCTTCCTGCCAATGGAGCTAGCTGGCTCTGGTGCAGTTAAGTCTTACTGGAAGGGTTTTTTTTTTCTTTAAGGAGGAGAAAAAATGAACTCATTTCTAAGCTAGTTTCGATTTCCATGGCCCTGGATTCACGTCACATCAGCGAAAAATGGAGCAAACCCATTGTCACCACTAAGACAGTCTCCTTTAGCTCTGAGTAACATTAAAAAGGGCATACATCAAGACAGAAATTCAAAGGGCAGGCTGAAATTCTCCAGCTCACTCTGCTGCAGTCAGGGAAGAAAACGGGACATAAATTACGAGTGAAACCAAATGTTTTCTGACCAGCATGGAACAAACCTACTGTCTGTGTGTCAGGACTTGGGAACACCTCCTGGTTGTGGCACTCAAGTCCTTCCAGTACAGCCAGCATTTTTCCAGCTTGTTAAATCTTTTGGGACTCAGGAAAAGTATTTTTAGCTTTCACTGCTGGCTCAGCCTTACCACAAACTATGTGGAACCTATTAACACAGAAGGTGCATTTTTCATTCTAATAAGACAGAAACTATTTGTACTAATTCTACAGAGTAGAAATGACAAACCTATGGCAGAGCTGAGCCAGAGCGTCTCTTAAGTTTTCAAATATGAATGAACAAAGTCAAATGCCTAATTATTGGTCTAATTTATAGGGTATGTGAGAATCTCTGGTGCCCACTGCAGCCAAAGGGAATTACAGACGATTTTAAAGAGTAAGTAATTATAGATCAAAAGAAAGTTAAATCAGGACACTTACGAGACACCTAATTTTGTCTGCAGAAGCCTAGCACAAGGCAACTGTGATTACTTCTGTCTATATCTTAATAGCTATTGATTTCAGTCATTTAACACAGGTTTTTACTTAATTACGTAAGATGCTACCTGAATACAGTATCTTTGTAGCACAGCCTGGACTTCAGACAAATGCTCATCATCTGGCCCTCCTTTTAAAAGTCCTATTCATGCTCCATCCCCTTTCTCCTTGGCTTAGGCTTGCTGCCCATTTTCTCCAAGGCAGGGCCTCCCTGGCACCCTGCCTCTGCTGGCAGGAAACAGGGGTTCTCTCGGTCCTTCGGCTTTGGGTTCACTCCTCCTTTGCAGCAGAGGCAATAGAGAACGAGCACATGTTTTTTCTTTTGTCTCTAAACAACTGCTACAAGCTGCTGTGCCTGCAAGAAGTGCCAGGATCACAGCACAGTCTGCTCTTTACCCTCAAAGATGTGTTGCATCAATTCCCAATTTCCTAAGCCACATCCACATTCGGCAAGACAATGAAAGCATTTATAAGAGAGCGTACGTGCACATAGGTTAATCTGTATTTGTCACTAAATCATTTTAGACTGAACAGTGTTCAAGACTGGTTCTACTGCAAAGTTTGCTCATATTTTCCCAAAGTTGTAAAAATAAATAAAACAAAACCCACGGAGTCTGCTTCTAAATCCAACTACTTTATGCAAGATCTTGTCTGGATGGGATATTTCCACTGTTTTCTCACAGCAGTGCAATACTAATGCAGCAGTATTAGCTTATTAAGGCTAGCTTCTTTAATATTACAGACAGTTGAAAGCAGCATTTCTTGACATCTGTTTTCAAGCAACGTAGACCAGGTATTTTTATTCCTTTTTGGATTTAAAAAAAAAAAAAACAAACAACCTTGTAGGAAATATTTTTGCAGGCATCTCTTCATGAAAGTAGCTAGTCCTTCTCCTAAATGGAGATGTTTTTCTATTACATTTACAAACCCAGTGAGGAATAAAAACTGAGATCTAAGCTCTGGGTTTGACTCAGCTGATTTGGATGGGATGGTGCAGAGAAACTATTAATTGTAAGATCAAGAAAGGAAATTCACAATAAGAAGTTGACTGTAGAAAGGCTCACATGTGGCAAAAAGAGATGGAAGAGACTGTTCTAGGCTTAAGGAGCAATCTTAATAAGGCACAACACCAAGAAGGAGAAGACTGAGGAAGCAGCAAGGCAAGACTGGGATGTCCAAAAGGGATAAGAGGGAATGTCGGAGATGTGGGTTGGGTAAGATTGCAGAGGGTTCTTCAAATGAGAATGAGGAATTCAAATTTAATACAGAAGTCACAGGAGAGAGTCAAGGACCAGAGTGATACAGCCAGAGAAGAAAGACACAACTAACGTGACATTTTTAATACATCGGAGAAATGAATGGTGAAAACAGAAGACAAACTAAGTAACAGAGACCAAGGTAAGAGTTCGGAGTAAGAACAGAGAAGGAAGGATGAGTTTCCATGAGACAATACAGCAAAAGAAAGAGCAACTCTTGGCAAAGACCTAAATGAGAAAAAAGAAGGAGCAAGAAGTGATATGTGGGAAGCTACCCAGGGTCAACGCAGGACAGAAGTTGCGAGAGATTAGGAAAACAAGCAGCAGATTCGACTTGTGTGATGGCAGCTAGGCAGACAAGAACAGATGTAAGATGGAGGAGACTGGAAGGGAGGCTGAAAACAACAGCATAGATCTGAGAACCGCTAATGAGATTAGTGCCTTCTCATTTTTCTTCCTTGAAAAATAAAAATACATTCAAGCTAGACTGGGCAATTTCTCATTCTTCCTCATCCCCCCAACTCTTCCAGCCAATATTCCCTACTAACCTGGCATTTGAAACTCTTCAAATACTCGGCCCCCACCTGATCTTCTCGCTCAAACCCCGGTGCTTTCTTGTAGCTGCTGGCTGCTGTTACTGAGTCTGGAGGAAAACCAATGGTCTCCAAGCTGTGTGGCTTTCCAATGGCACCAGGAGGAGACCCACATATATTAGATGGGCTTCCGAGACTGCTGTTCCTACAAAGAATCTAACAGAAGGAACAAGTGTCAGGAAAGTACAGCCAGCCAGTAGCAACGACTCGAAGAGGAGAGGCATCCCACAGAAGAGCTCATTCACTTCACTGTTTGTGCATTGATTATACTGACAGTCAACACAAGCATACAAGCTTACCGTAAACAGTAATTAAAGACCAAGAAAAAGCTCCAGTAGATACTAGATTTATACAGTCCCACAATTATGGTTGTATTGTCATTACTTTGTACTGGAGTGCAGCCTTATAAAAACCAACCTACAGCTCTAGTGACATTTATTCTTTTTGAGGCCTCGGATGTAACTGATCAAGTTTCCACACCTGCCCAAAACTCTCTTTGCTTTTCTCAGGGTACAGTGGGTCCTGTCTGCACTCTGCGTAGTAGTGTGAAACCTGGAAAGGTGCTACGGCAGTCACAACAACCAAGCATATCTGAGCTACATGTAAGACTGTATCTTTCGCTTTCCAGTTGGAAATCTGAACATTTTAATGCAGGCATAAGCCAAGTAGCAAAAGCTGCATTAAAAAACCCCGAGGATTTCCAACAGTTCCGTTCTTTGGACTATAACCAGGGATCACAACCACATGCAACAAGGCTAGTTTTGCACTGTAGATGAAGCCACAGACAGCAGCAAAGGAGATTAAGATGAGTTTTACAGAAAGTGCCTACTTGGATCAAAGCAGATATCCCATTTTTCTGGGACAAGAAATTATTTGCCTGTGCTGGCAAGCATGACTGTGCTTCAGACAACATTTAGACAGTCACTGCTACCACAGATTCAAATGTGGCACAGTCTGGGCTCATATTAGAAAGAAGGAGCATCCTACAATGTTTTGATTTTATTTTTATACAGACATTCTGCTGTCCATGCTTCCCTACAGTTGCAAAGATACTACTCACTGTGGTGGAGGTGGGGCTAGTTGGCAGAGTTCCTGATTTATTCCACACCTACAGTACAAATACAAAACAGAACAGGCCACGTGAGGCTGGCTGCTACAGGGACTTTCTTCTCTGATTAATTCATCATGTAAAATGATCGCCAGCAAAGCCATATTTGTTTGCAAGCTACATGCAGATGCCCTGTGGAGTGATGAAGTCACTGAAAGACATGTGTTGCCATTTGGCATATATCCAAGGATTAGGAAAGACTGTTTAAAAGACTAAGAGCTTGAGACAGAAAAGACCTAAACGGTCTATTAAGTGGAAGATATCTTCAATTTCATTGCAGTTGTCAGAGAATTTAGATGATACATTCAAAAGATGAAGGGGTTTTGTTTTTTAGTACTTTCCAGTGTCATTTAGTGAGAGAAAATATTATGTCCAGACTTTCCAAGATCTGTCTGGAATTCTAGCCGCAATCAAATTCAGGAGAACTATGAACTGTTAGGCTGGCTTTGGCACTAATAAAAACCAAACTATCAGCTTCTGCTTTCAAAGAGAGGGAATAAGATAAAATAGAGGTCCTAAAAGAGTTCACCTAATTCTGACCAGTTTCAAATGAGTTAACTCATGTCATTTTACCTTCTCAAAACCTTGACCAACCATTTGAAAAGGTTACATACCTTATCAACAGTAGTGCAAACAGGAAAGACTTCACGAACAAAAAAAAACCAACACCAAAACCTCAGTAAAAATGAAGTGGTCTAGCATTCCATGGGCTTCTTATCTGTCTGTGTGTATCTGTTCAGCATTTAAAGATCTCCCTCCTTGTACGTACAACTAAAATAAAGCACTACAAACAATGTGGGGCATTTCTTAAACATATTCCAGAGTTTAGCTATCTCTAGAAGTAGGAGAGGGAGGGAATCAAGGATATCCTATAATGCAACACAAAATATGCACAGGCTAAGCCTCTGAGATTACATATGTAAACAAACTTGATTGTAGTTATGTACTTTAGACGTTATTGGCTCACAGCCTCTAATTAGAGTACTTGGAAACTAAGCCCAATATGTACCTCCAGACAGGAAGGAGTTGGACTTCATGTGCGGATGTATTCCACTTCCCTGAAAGTACATCAACAAACTTTGCACAGAAAGGAAGGCTTAGAAATTTTATAGGTGGAAGGACAATAATAAAACCACTGAACCATATGTTCCAAACAAACAGATCCCTCTAAAAAGCATGGAGCTGAGATGTCAAAGAAAAATGTCATAACCTTTGGGCTTTTGGATACTTGAGATTTCTCTGCTTGGGAGAAAGAAGTACAGCGATTCAGAGAAACCCAGATCTATAAAACATGGACAAGGCTTCCCCATAGTGCTACATACATTGCTAAGGTCTGGGGCATGCGGACTGGAAGGGCTGACTGGAACAGAATCACCAGCTGCTGATGGCATATACATCACAGGGCCTGTCTGTGTTGGGCTAGACACAGCTGAGGACTGCTGTAAATCTTCACTGAGCGCAGGCTCTGAAAGAAATAAGAGCACATGGAATGTTACTCCAAGCTGCATAAATGCAAAAAGATGTTCAGGAACAAGAACTCATAGATATTCTTGAGAGAAGATACATTCCACAAGCATCTACTTATAAGTATAGAAGCAAGGAGAAATCTCATCTGGCAAACGGCTACTACTTATCTAATATTCCTTACATTATTACTGTCATCACTTGTACACTGTGCTGCTCTTTAGTCCATTAACACTGCTCCAAAATTAGCTTCCCTGCATGAATTGTGCGTTATTCATTCAGCTGTCTTGAACTAAGCAGAGCTTCCTTCATTGCTAGACACAAAGCTGATGCGTGTGCTACAATTAGCTGAGAGACAAGTTTCCATCTGTGCTCAGTACAAACCATTAACAAAAAAAAGTAATGTATGTAGAAAGGCATACACAAAAAGAAAGTGTCATTGGCTTGGAAGGTAAAGTAGAGATGCTGTAGACTTTTAGTATTTACATCTAACACAACTCAGCATCTTTACAAAGATTATATAACTGACACTATGCCTGTATTGCAATAGCTTTAAAGCACTGGTTTCAACACATTTATTGATAATAATCAGCAAAGCTCATGCTAAGAGCAGATATAATAAATGGATTCCTATTATTTTAATTGAATCAGGCTCTCAGTGTTCACCTTGCTAAGAACGGACTGAAATATACAATTCCAAAGTCAGCACAAGTAATGACCAGGTTGGAACGACCTCAGTGCCACGGAATGTTACTCTGGCTTTAAAGTAGTATAGTCTCAAGTGCAGTCATCTCCTTAGGAACAAGGCATCTCCCAAACAAAAATACTATGTTATACACGAGTGAGTTTGCTAAACACTGATTCTTTACCAAGACTTCATTCTCTCTTAAGCTTGCTGGATCATACTGTGTAGTTGCACTACTGGGTTTTGGGCCATTATAGCCCAAAGCTTTAGCTATAATTACTGCTTGTCGACAAGGTTTCCTATAAAAGGCACTGCATAACCTGTAGGGAATTTACTCCCACCATTCCTTGACAAAGGCAGCAATTACTAATTCCACCATTTACAAAGGATAATCAAATAACAAAGAGATTTGCTCAAGGTCATGTAGTGAGTCAGTATCAGAGCCAATCTACTGACTTTTGAGTAACCTGCTCTAATTGCTGCAAATTCACCAGTGAGACTGGAGTGCAAAAACTGAGTAGGAGCCATAGGACCAGGAGCTAACCATTTCTCTAGGAACGTTAGTACCCACCTGAATATAGAATTCCCACAACCAAAACAGCATCATTAGTTTACAGACGATGAAAGCAAGGATTGAAATAATGCCCTATAAATCAGGGAGTTAGTGAGAAAAGAGGATTTGAGGAAACACGGACGAAAAAGCTGCATGTTTTTCTTCTCCAACCTGACTTAAAGATTTAAACTCTAAGTAAAACTTCATAAATAGTAAAATAGTATTTAATTTTTAAAACAGATCAATACATTATCTATTATTAGCAATTTTACCCTCAGCTTTTTAAAATACAACACTTTGCAACTTAGCTAGGTACAGTTCATCCATGCACAGAAGAGAAGCAGCTCTCTCTGTTCCAGTCCTCCTAAACTGACACACAGAGAACTGAGTGAGTGAGAGGGAGACACTTCAAGAGATAACGCAGGGAGAGCTAAGGGCTGAGTCCTACAGACTACCTACTGTCTTCAGCTCTGCCAACACCTCCCATACTAGCAAGGTTTTACAAGGAATTATCAAAAGTTAATACTTTGTTTTTGAAAATGCTTCACTGAAGTTCTAGTTTAGTGGCCTTTTATTTTAAACTATTTTGGCCAGAAGCTCCCCACAGCTCAAATATCTATGAAATATAGAGAAGTAGCCCACGTACGTTCTACATGTGCAAAGGCACAGAAGGGTCCTCGGGGACAGCTGCCAGACTGCTGCATATCATTGCACTTGGTGGATCTGTAGATCTAAGGATAGAAAACAAAACAAAACAAAACAGACATGAATAGGAAAAAACTGTGAGCAGCAGCCCAGGTACAAAAGTACTACGAAGAGACTCAACAGCAAGATAGAAACACAGATAAAAGGCACAAAGGCCAGCAAGAGCTCAGGGTGACCATTTCAGTGCTTTGCTTCAAAGAAAGGAAAACCCACTGTAGTAACAGAAACACCAAAATATGCCCATCACAGCTAAGCTCACCCAAAGATCAACCCATCACATGTCAGCTCACCCAAAGGCCACCACTTTCCACAAAGTCCCTCAGTCTCACTGGGAGCTCCATGGATATTACAAACAGTAAAAGGCAGGAAACAGTTGACAGATGACAGCACAGAAAGCTACAGCCACACGTTTGCAAGGAAAATAACAAACCGTTGACAATGATTGTGGGAAATGGATTATTCCCCTTCCCCCCAGTTTGACAGGCGGTGACAATGGTTACTTTGCCGATACAGGCCCAACAAAGCTTTTCAACACTGTAACATGAAGCAGACTAGGACAAGGTCTTAATTACACTTGGTGTAAGGACACTGGAATGCTCTGAGCATGCTCACAACTAAGAACTTGGTGGTTTTTAGCACCGGGTCATGGGTATCTACGGTTTAGCAGGATTGTCATCAACCAAGAATTTTTCCTCAAGGAAACAGATGCTGTATGCTTACCTGCACACCCACACCAGGCTTTCAAAAGGACCCCCACACATGAGACTGCTCTTACACTGAGTTTTCCCCTACTTTTCCTACCTTCTCCCGTATGGTCTACCCAATGAACAGGCACCCCTGTCCAGCAGCTGAATTCCAGCTTACTTCCAACATGCAGTTTTCTCTGTATCCCAGGACCACGCCGCAAGCAGCCCTCATACTCTCCCAGCTGGCACACTAGTGTACTTCATAAGCCTGGAATGCTTTTGCTTCTCTAGTCAGCTGCCAAACAGATCAAGCAAGCTACTGTACCTCTGGATGGAACTGCTGTTCTGTGCGAGTGTGGCAGTATTGGCATGAGTCTCCATTTTCACACTTACTGGGATCTCCCCACTCGTCTCCATGTTTCACACTGGGACACGGTGAAGATCTGTGTAAATAAGGTAGCCAGAGAACACATCAGACCCACAAATAGGCTTTGAGCTTTGCTTTCCTCAACTGTTCAGCTGCCCACCCTCAGCTGTACAATCTGTTTGCCTGGCTGCTGCTTCCCCAGCCCCCACCCTGCTGCTACTGCATCTTCTTCTCCCTCTTCCAATTTCCCAAAGAAAAGAAACATGGCTTAGCTTTCCATCTGAAAATGAATGCTACCTGAACCAACATAACTTAACAATATGAGCAGCCGATGTGATTAGTGTCAGAGATGGTGGGTCTGGTTTCTGTTTTGGAACTGTACATTCATAGAAAGCTAATGAGTTAATTGGCTAACGCAAAAACACATCATACCCTTACAGGGGTGTGTTTCCAGGGTTATAGCATGGCCATGCGGAAAAGAGTCAGGTCACTGGGGAAAAGGCAAGTCCATTTGCTTTCTCCCAGCCAGAAACAGTTCTTTTTTCCACTTCTGAATTTTTGCTGTGACCTACTTCCTCTGCTCTTTATGCTCTTCACCATTCCCTCAAACAACAGCAGAGGGAAGCAGACAGCAGCAGCCGCAGCAGCTGGGGGTGGGGAAAGCAACGCAGAAGCCAGTGGAGAAGCTTTCACCTCTTCCCTTCCCGAAGGGCCCAGGCAGGGGCAGAAAGCACATGGCTGCTGCCTGAAGATTGCCTTAGTGTTTCTGTTTCTCCCGGAGGTGTCAGGATTAATATTCCTTTGATTCTTTTTCTTTTTTTTTTTAATACGGGATTTCGGTGCTGATTCAAAAATTTCTGTGAATGCTGGGGGTGGGGAAGGGAAGTGAGAACATCCATGGTATTTTCTCTCCTGGCTTTCTGGGCTGCTCTTACGTTTTTCAAAAAGGAACTACGGAAAAGCCCCACTGAGACCACAACAAAAGCTCTGTTGTGTTGGAGGAAATGAGGGTCAATAACTTGGATGAAACGCGTTCAGGGAGACACGGCACGCTGAAAAATCCAGTGACAGCTGAGTGACGAGAACACCCGGGTGCCTCAGCAGCGCAGACTTTAGCAGCTGGGTAGGGATGCATGTCCAGCTACAGCACTGCTCACGCTGTGCCTCACAATCCCCACCACCAGGCACACACAACAAGCAGCTTGATGATTCCGAACCCTTTACCATGAAAACACTGCTCTGCGAGTCTGTTTCTAGATGGGGATTAAACTTGATTTTCTTTTCTTTTTCCTGTACTGCTTTCCACAGCAGGAGTTTATATGCTAAGAGGCAGCCAGACACAGGTTCTGTTTGCCATAAAACCAGAGTTGTAACGTGATTTAGCAACGGTCACGTATTAGAGATACTGGTTCCTATATACAGCAAAATTCCTTTAGTTTGTTATCCTGTCTCCTAGGCAGAAATAACCGTCCATCACATCTGTCATTACGGGCCTTGGAGACGCACTGAAAAATCTACCTAGTGGATTGTATTAGGTTTGCGTGGCAAGGTTTTGGTAGCAGGGGGGCTACAGGGGTGGCTTCTGTGAGAAGCTGCTGAAAGTTTCCTCTATGTCCAATAGAGCTAACGTCAGCTGGCTGCAAGACAGACCTGGCCAAGGCCAAGTCCCTCAGCAATGGTGGTAGCACCTCTGGGATAATATATTTAAGAAGGTGGGAAAAATCCTGTGCAACAGCAATTGCAGCTGGAGAGAGAGAGTATGTGAGAGAAACAACCCTGCGGACCCCAAGGTCAGTGAAGGAGGGGGCGAAGGTGCTTCAGATGCTGGAGCAGAGATTCCCCTGCAGCCTGTGGTGAAGACCATGGTGACACAGGCTGTGTCCTGCAGCCCATGGAGGTTAGTGGTGGAGAAGAGATCCACTTGCAGCCCCTGGAGGACCCCACGCTGGAGCAGGTGGATGTCCAAAGAAGGCTGTGACCCTGTGCGAAGCCCATGCTGGAGGAGGCTCCTGGCAGGACCTGTGGTCCTGCAGAGAGAGGAGCCCACGCTGGAGCAGGTTTGCTGGCAGGACTTGTGACCCCATGGGGACCCACGCTGGAGCAGTGTGTTCCTGAAGGACTGCATCCCAGGGGAGGTACCTACACTGGAGCAGTTCGTGAAGAACTGCAGCCCATAGGAGAAGTTCATGGAGGACTGTCTCCCGTGGAAGAGACTCCATGCTGGAGCAGAGGGAGAGTAAGGAGTCCTTCCCCTGAGGAAGGAGTGGCAGAGAAAGTATGACGAACTGACCACAATCCCCATTCCCCATCCCTCTGTGCTGCTCAGGAGGAGGAGGTAAAGAAAGTCAGGAGTAAAGTTGAGCCCAGGAAGAGGGGAGGGGTGGAGGGAAGGTGTTCTAAGATTTAGTTTTATTTCTCATTATCCTACTCTGATTTGATTGTAATAAATTAAACTAATTTCCCAAGTCAAGTGTGTTTTGCCTGTGATGATAATTGGTGAGTGATCTCTCCCTGTCCTCATCTCAACCCACGAGCCTTTCATTTTATTCTCTCTCCCCTGTTCAGCTAAGGAGGGGACTGATAGAGCGGCTTTGGTGGGCACCTGGTGTCCAGCCAGGGTAAACCCACCACATGGTCAAAATTCTAGATCCTTCATTACAGATTTCTACTGCATCTCACCACTCAGCTGGGAAACAGAATATCCAATACCACAGTAGTACCTGTATTTGTGTTTTCTTGGGCTTCTTCTTCTGTCTTTGCTATTGTGGTAGTAGGGACAGGCATAACCCTGGCGACAGAGACGGGGGGGTTTCTTACATTGCTCTGTCTTGTAGTTTCCCAACACATATGTTGTATCTGCAAAAGAAGCAACCAGTTAGTGGGAGATGACCATGATCTGCGTTCACTACACAGAAGTTTTTGACAGAAGCATGTACTTCACAAACGCCAGACTTTCCCAGCCCCCACAGACCTTGTGACACTCACCTTGCCACCTTGGCTCCTCACTGAGTATTTTCTCTATCATAGCATGGCTAGCAGCGACTGCAGACTGACCCTCTATGCCACCTTCTGATGTAGTCTGACCATTCTGCAAAGCCTCCATTGCCTGAAGCTCCCTTTGAGGACACAGTTAAATTAATATACAGACTGAGCAGATGGAGAGACAGATAAATGTGTATAAAAACTGACATACAGGAGCATGGTAACAATTCCTAAGTGGGTGCATTTCATTCATGCATTTTTTTGTCAGAACATCTTTAGTCAAACAGCAACTGCAATACATGTTCTTCATTCCCTGGAAATTCCAGATGCATTATTTTGACGCCCCCATCAGAATCCAAACCACAGCACAACTAGCTCAAAGTGTGCTCTCTTCCCCCATTTTAAGTATCCTCCCTGGAGATTTTGTAGATTTGCCTTATTAGGAATGAATAGATCATCATCATTCCAACACTAAGCATTTCACACCAAAGTGGTACTGTCCTTCAATCATCTGACTTTTCATCTGGGTCCAGAAATTATGCTTTTCACCCAGAGCCCCAACCTCTACCAACCTGATGTCGTACACCGGAGAGCGTAGGTCATGGGGCCCGTGAGCAAACGCGCAGTGGACTCCGTTCTTCGTGCAGTTTCCCTTGGAGTCTGTCTCATGAATGCAGATTCCAGTTTTGTAGTAGCGCAAGTGATACCTCCTCTCTGTGTCTCCAGTAGTTCTATGCAAGAAGGGACACCTGAGGTACAGAAGGAGGGGAAGAACAGCCCAAGTTTAGTCACGCAGGTGACGGACCCAACAGTACCAGAAGACATATCGCCAATACAGGATGCTGCAGTTGACAATGCCTTTGCTAACTCTGCCCCTTCTCTCATGTTGTGTCTTCCAAAGCTACAGAGAACCCCTACACCTGTCGCTACACAGTATATAATAGTTTCTCTCCCAGAAAACCAACTGGATTATTAAGCCAGCAGTAGCTTATTATTCTAGCCTAGTGACTGCCAGGGATCTGGAAAAGAGCAAGGACACTGTCGAGGCATTCTGATACACTAGTCATGATTGAAGGGACATCACATGGCACATACCAATTCCTCAACAGCCTATCTAGACTTTGTGCTGTTACTGTTTCCTGCTGATGTACTCCTACAGGGCTGCGACAGTCTATCTATAGCCAGATGTATCCTTTATGCAAAGCGTGGGACAGAAAGGAGAATTACAATACTACCATTTTAACTGATGTTTTGTTTCCCCTCTTAGGCAGAAAAACAACAACATATACTGAGAAATGAAAAAAAAACCCAACAAAAGACAAACAACAACATGGAATAGGTAAAGTTTATACATTGCAGCATCAAGCTATAAATACAAACCAGCAAAGAGTTCTGAGATTACAAGCTTTCATTCACTGAGTTTGAGCCAGATATGAACCAGTGATCTAGAAGCCAAAGCCCCCAAATATCTTATTCCCAGTCCCTTCCAGTTCTCTTCTAACAGGGAAGAAACTATTGAAACTGAGGCCTCAGGCTGAGGGATTATTCTATTCTGCTGTAGTCACAAGATCTTTACTTAAACAGGTAAAAAAACCATTGTTTTCCCAATAAATAGCATTTTTTTGTATGTGTTTATACTGGCACCACATAAAGGAACTGAAATCCCATCTTTCTATAGCATCTCTCTATAAAACACTCCCTATATTTGACCACAGTTTGGCTATGATATTTATTCTTCCATATCTTTCACATGGCTAAAGTTACCTTACTGTGTTAACTCCTTAATTGCTGAAGCCTGCCACATGCACAGCAGAAGCACTTGCATCTCTGCTCCAGTCAAACTTACCACAGTCATGGAGAGAGAGCCCCAGTACAACAAACTCTTTCTCATGTTGCCTTATTCTGGGTACCTGTCATTTCCCTACAAAAGGTCAGGAAGACAAAATAAACTGGCAAGCAACCCATATGTTTTCAAAAGCTGGGGACTGGTAATTCAGGGAACAGACTAAAGGACAAAGCTCCTCCTCTTTCAGCAATCCATTAAAAACTGAGCTAACCAGCTAGTGAGCAAGAGCTATTATTTGACAGTCAGGGACTTACAGGAAGAGAGTCTCTCAGTCCATTCATCAGCAAGCTGTTTTTCACACCTCAACTTTGCTGAAGATGCCATGGCTCATGAGGACAGTGAACGATGCAAGAGCTGAATTCCCATCTAAGTCATCCTTAGTATCATCTCTGCAGCAGGCCTGGAGCACAGGGGCTGCTGTTACAGTTTTACATCTGTTCTCATGTTACGTATGTTACAAAGCTGCTTTACTGCTGACTTGTCTCATCTCTACAAGAACTGGCTGGAATCATCACCTGGACTGATCCCAAAAGCCTAATGCCTGAAAAGCAGGATGCAGTCTTTACTTACTCATCTCCTTCTGGGCAGATTCCTGTGGTCTCGTCATACTTGGTACAGTAAATGTCAGGGCTGTAGTTAAATGTACCATCCCGGCGGCGGATAGATCTGCGACGACGCTGGTTGACAAAGTGCCAGTGGAAGCAAGTGTAGGGCCGGTGCTGAGTGCACTTGTGCTGCACAAAGAGAGGGCACTGCTCCGTGCGGAACTCCTTCAGGTAACTGCAGGCAGAAATCCAACAGCAGGAGATCAGGACCAGGATGCTGGTCAGAGGCAATATCTCATCAACGCAGAGTCCAAACCCAGCCGCATCCACCACAGAGATGCCTGTTGTCCCTCCCACACCCTCCCCTGCTTTCGCTCCCAATAAGGGAGGCTGGAAGCTGCTGCTTGTCTGTACTGGGAAGACAGGAGTTACCAGGCCAGTTAAGACAAACACCAGTGCTAACGACAGCTGAAATCCAAATGATACCAAAGGCACAACAGAAAGTGAAGAGGCTTTTCATGAGCTTCAAAAATAGTTTGAGAGAAACATAGAACTCTTAAGTACCTTTCTATCCATTTCTGTCTCTAAATCTGAGACCTCTCTGGGCAAAAAGGGGTTTCCTTCCTAAAAGATACATGTTCAGTTTTAAAAAAAACCCAACAATTAAAATACACTTACTTCCTTGTAGCCACGTTTAAAGCTTCAGTTACTGAGAGAGAAAGATTTTTAAAAGACTCTTTCATGCCTTGTTCTCCTGGTTTAACTCGGCTTCTTCAGTACATGGTGGACTATGAAATTAAAATTAATCAACTTCTCTCTCGCAATCTTGTGAATTCAGGACTCAGTCTTGAAAAGTGGGATAACTATCCTCAACCTCCTGCATGTTTATGTTGCTTTATTTTTAATATGTAATTCTCTGAAAGTACGTGTCGTCTTTTATCCCGAGAACTAAAGTCACCAGCTTTTATTTGTGACACTAATAACAGTCTCTAAACCCAGATTGTAGAGGATTACAAAATGGTTTAGATCAGCATAATGATCTGACTGTGATCTGTGTGTAGGTGCTTACAAAATCCACGCTGCCTGAAACCCACTAGCTGCCCTGTATTTATAGGGAACGTATGAACAGCTCCAAGCAGCTCAGACCCGAATCCCACCGGGTTCGGTCTCAGAGACACCTTGTAGAACAACACAGAAGTCCCAGAGGAGGCAGACGTGGGGCAACTGCCTCCCACAACAAGTCACATTCTGGTCTCTTATGTTTAGAGATCACTTTCAACAGCAAGTAACAAAATCTGTTGGTCAAAAGTGCCAGTATTCTGCTGGAAGCAGCAGGATGATGTAACAGAAGATACGGACCCATTTTAAACTGCATATGTACTCCAGGGCAACAAAATGGGAGTATAGGAATTTGTCAAGTATTCACTCCCATATAAGACGATCTTTCTACCGTGTTTCTAAATAAATGGAAAGATGCCTAATGCCGAAAGATGTATTTACAGATGACATCATCAGGCTAGATTCATCCTGAAAGCAACATCTGTAAATAAAGCCTCCTCTCCTTTTTACCCCCGGCTGAAGAGAAAGCCTCAGGAAAACGCACAAATTCAACCAAAATGGTTTTATTTGTTTGCAGTGAAGAGAGAATATCACTGGCAAAAGCTTTCCTGCATGGATTTTGCAAGCATGAAAGGATAAAAGCTCTTCCTCCTTTTCAACCTCCAAATATGTGAGACTTGCAGGTTTCACTGCTTCAGATCTGCAGATGCTCGGGGCTGGAGAGCCTGGGCAGCGGCTGGGAGCCCTTTTCAACCCAAACCCATCTGTCCCGAGCAAACCAGCGCGGCTGCAACAGTATCTGCATTGGGGCCCAAGGCTTAACATCAGAAAAACCAGAGCCAGCGTGCAGAAACGGGTCTGTTTGGAGCAGGTGAGGGCCAACAACATCACTTTGTTCCTTCTGACTTTTTAAAAGCTGGCACCATTCAAATGCAGATACTTACTCCAACCACAGCAGCAATTAATCTGAAAACTGAATGTTGCAATAAAATTAATCCATTCTTGAAAAGCTTTCTAAACTGTTGGACCAAGTACAGTTGTAAAAGGTGGAATTGCACAGATTATTTTATCTTATCAGTGCACTAGTAAGACTTAGAACAAAGGTGACCGTAACAACATTCAGTTTAGAAAGTGAATTAAGTAAACTTAAGCAGCATGATACTTAGACTGCTCTCCAGAGATACTACCCAGTCACCAACCAGTTCCTTCCACCCATACATCTCCACGTACACCTTAGAGACATGAGGTTTACGTTACTCTCATTTTACAGATGGAGAAACTGCAAAACAGCTGGCTACGTGCCTTGGCCAGTATCATACAGCAATCAGTCGGCAACAGAAACCATAAGCATTCAAACTGCATCTTCACCGAAGTGAGTCCTCGGCTTAATTTGAAGAACAGCATCCTGAACCTCTTCAATACTCTGGAAACTAAGGGGAGATATCAGGCCTACACAATTTTGGCATCAAACCCAGCACCCCAGACTTGTAGTGATAGCCATGTAGGAAACACTGTTAAAAACCCCAAAATTTAACAACTGCATGATCAACCGAGCTGAATAAGCCTCCCTTGAGGAGGATTTAAAAACATACACACTGACTAGAGAGTTCAGTCTCTGGAGTGTCAATTGTTGCTGAAGAGCATTTGAAAATTAATTGCATTTCATGATTGGCTAAACTCCCTGGAGAAACATTTATTATAATGTAAATGAGAGATAATTACATAAGTAAATGGTTCACCTGAAAAGTGTTTAACACCTAACTCGCTCCATCAGACACTCATTCTTTAATGCTGTCTATTAAATAAATGATCTCTCACTCTTAATTTCAAAGCAAGTCCTGCAAACAGGTACCGTTGAGCTCTGCACAACACATTAACTGTGCATGATCACCTCTGCAACAGACCCAAGAGAGGAAAAGGACAGTTGTCACATTAACTCAGTTATTTCAAGCCTTTCAATCGCTGCTTTGGGTTTTTTCTTTTTTTTCAAGCCACTACAACATTTTAAATCACCCTCCTCCTCAATAGCCTGAATGGTAAATTGCCTTATAGCCCTATATTTTCTTGATCCATGAAGTGAGTTTTGGCTCCTCTGGGAGAACATGGACCACTCAACCAGCCACTTTGTATTAAAATATATGAAAGGCATCTAAGCCACATGTGTTTTGGGAACATAGAAAGGACACACAGACTGCACTACTGCAACATGATGGCTCACAAAGCAGAGGCTATCAATATTTCAGTAGCCTTTTTGCAAAGGCTCTAAACAGAAAACACAGAAAACACTGTCATGACAGATCCTTCTGGTGTCAATGGTCTCTATAAATTTTTCCCAGAATAGCTGAGAACAGGAATTTTTGAACGACCCTTGAAACTGAAAACATGTTGATAACTGGTACGCATTTCACAGCATGTCAGCCAAACGCTGTGTCTGTACAGGAAGAGGAAATCCAGCAATGATAACCTGCATTTCTCAACTCCTCTCTAAAGATTTCAGGAAACTCTACAGCCCCCACATGAGGGGCAGAAGAATTATTACCCCTATTTTATAGAGGAGTTATTTCTTTCTTTATTTAAAAAAAAAAACAACAAAAAAAACAGATGTGAAACTAATCAGTTCTGTGTTGGTCTACTTTACATGCACTTTCTTTTGTATGTGTGTATATATCATATTTTCAAATCCATATAATTTTTTAAAAAGAGGAAAGCACATAGCATGGTCATCTTCTGATTCTACATTAACATCAACACCAGCGTTCCTGGAGGAAATGTTATAATTTGAGTCCTACTAAACAAAGACAATTGCAATTCTAAACAAATAGGACAAGACCGGCCAGAACAATGCAGATCAAAGTCCCCAGGACGAATTGAACTTGCTGCTGAGCAGGATGGGCACTACTGGACATGAAAGCTTATTTCACTAGGAAGACAGGAGGAGAGGTTCTTAGGCTAGCTCTGAGGACTCCCAGAGACTGACAAGAGCTGCGAAGTATTAGAAAAATAAAATGCTATTTCACCAAGGTTCCACTTCCTCTGGGGTGGGATGTGGGAAGGGTCAGTAATTACTCTCTGCAAGAATTTACACTAGTGGGGGAACTAGTAACTGTCTTTAATTGCTAGCAGCAGCTCGACTCTCTAGGGCAGGGCAGCAAGTGTTTACATCTGCAGCTAGTAATTGCAGCTAGTTTCCCCTCTGCCCTGGAGGAACTGAGCAGCAACCTGCTTTGGGAGCTGCAGGCAGACAGACAAGCAGGATGAGGAAAAAAAAAAGTTGTACTTCCAAACATGACCACCAAAAAAAAGGTATCAAACCTGGAAAGAAGGAGGGAAAGACAAAAAGAAACCAAGAAGAAACTCTAACCTAGAAGCTTCATTTTTAAACTCAACAACTGCAGCCTTGTCCGGGTCACATTCATCGCCCGCTGCCGCGGGGATCTCTCGCTCCGCTGCAGCTTTGCCAGTTTGGCTCTGTCCACACCCAGTGCACTCCAGTGGCTCAGTACGGGAGAATACCTGCATCCCACACCATGTTCCAGGGCCGGAAGCTTCCCGCCAGACTTGACATAAGTCACACGTGCGATGGCAGGAGCTCCACTCAGGAAAACGCAGCTGGTAATGTGCGAAAACAGCTGAGCTCTAAATTCCTTATGAAAAGCCTTACCCAAAGCTCCCCGAAATCACTGGAAGATGCACACTGATGCCAAAAGAGAAGTCTCTGCTTTGTAACAGAGGGATCAAGAAGACTGGGGAGAGAAACAGTACCGAGGAGCATGGAAATGAACGGATTAAAACCGACTCTTCCAAACCCTTGCTGCTCCCATAACACAGAGCCGGGCCCTCCTTTGCTTCCGACACCCCCTGCGCTATTTGAAATCTTTCCGTAGGTGCCAAGAGGAGCTCCTCTCCTTTGCAGCCCTCCTTGCTCCTCCCAGTCAATCTCCTTTCTGCCAAAATTCCTTCCGGGCCCAAAGAGAGCGCGGAGGCTCATAAACAGGCTCTGAATCTTCTGCAGCAGTACGACATCAGGGAGAAAACCATTAGATAATTGTTTGGCTCATCCAGACTAAGAGACTGTCTGTAAATGTAGGACAATCGTGAGATCCAACACCACTCTCACCTAGATATCGTGTGCTTGTGGGTGTGTGTTCACACCCGTGAAACCACGCTACAGCACCCTCAGTAAAGGACCACATTAAGTGACTGGTACCAGTGCTGATTATCTGGTGTTAGACCAGTGTAAAACAGGGTTTGGTTGTATGCTTTTTTATTTTTTTTAAAAAAAAACAAGGCTTGGGTTCCTGAAAAGATTTCAGATGTTAGGAAGAAAATGCTCTTCTGCCATTACCATTTATTTTAGTCCTGTCTGCCTTCTCTCAACAGGGGGTCACAGTGGCAAAGATATAATTTCATCGGCACAAAAGCACATGGGAATGCAGGGGACTTTTGCTGGCACTTTTATATCAGTCATGTCCTGCTGTTTCAGACAGGACTGCATGAGGCCATAGACCTCTTTGGAAAGTCTCAGGTGGTCCCAGTTCACCTCACTTGTAGACAGGCATCCTTCCCAGATATTGCAGTCTGAATGACAAGAGATCACTGCTCTCAGCTGCTCATCAGCTTCCCTTTGCTAGAAGCTCCTATTGGCACCGGTCTGTCCAGACAGCAGGCTGAAGAAAGTCTTCCTAATTCAGTTTAGGAAAAAAAATAAAATAAAAAAAATAAAAATCACCAGCTTAGCTTTAAAGTTTAAATTAGTGGTTGAAGCTAACACAGGTAATTTTATCTGAAGTAAACCAGGGTATGCTTACTCAACAGACTGCCTGCAAACCAGGCAGCACTGCAAAACCCAGGAGAAAAATATCTAACTGTAGATATAGATGTTTTTAATTCATTAATGCTTATCTATTGTAAATATTTCCAAAACTGCTATTTTCTTCTTAAGCTCAAAGAGCCTCCCCAACACAGGAGGAAAAGAGCTGTCCATATTTAATCAGTGCTCTCAATTCATTTCACCCTCATAAAATTTTATTACAAAAGATGATATCAGACACATTTTAAGTAAGAAACCCATGACTCAATTATTTTCTTTTACTGAACTGTGGTATTCCAATTGAAATGAGTCAGTGGTGCATGACAGAATCTACTTATTCCAACAGGATACTCAATAAAAAAACCTACTAATGCACCTTTCACTTAACATATCATTACTGACAGAGAAAACCCATGACAGGCAGCTCTGACATTGCTCAGGAGTTTTTGCTCTAAGGGCAAAGAAGATATTCCAGAGCAAGAGAAAAAAATGGCAATTTAAAGAATAGTGTTGTTCCAAAATAATTAGTCCAGAATGGATATTCTGGAACAGCTACTGAATTTCTCTGCATTGGTAATTCCCTATAGCATCCTTACACATCTCCTGGCAAATCAACAGGGCTCCTAGAAGGCTTGGCTTGTTAAGGAATCCCTCAGTGTAGCAAGGATTTCAGCAGGTTGCCTACCCTGGGGATTTTATTGCTTCCAGTCACCACGGGGTCCAAACCCTTTCAGAGAAAGGGCTGAGTAACCAGCATTCCCATGGCATCTTATAAAATGGTGGCATTTCAAAGCAAAGCAAGCTTCCTTACCGGGAACATAGCCTTTGACTCGCAAGATTTCTTGGATTTTGGGTGAAAAAAGTACAACGAACAATCTAGCTTCACAGCAGTTGTAGTTCCTTGTTCCCAGAGGTGGGCACAAGGCACCTGAATCCCCCAAATGACATCTGCAAACTCCCAGTAGCCTGGTTTACAGCCTGCCTAAATCTCTGCATGGAAAAGGTTAGCATCCTTCTAAAAAAGAGCAGTAGTTAAACTAAGTCTGTTTCAATACAGAATGATTTTTACTTACTGGCAGATGTAATCTAATATTGAAACAGAGCCTCACACAAATCACTGCTGAACATCGAACAATAACAAACACTTTCAGCAGCAACATTGAAGGTTTTCATAATGACTTCAGGAAAAGCTCTGACCTGGTTCTTCCAGTAATCTTTATCAGTTACTGTGGCTCACCACTATTGGATATTTCCTCTTTTCCATCTTTAATGGTATTTTTTTCCTAAATAACCTCACAGACCTGACCAAACCCTCACGTTTCACACTTAGGCTTTTGCATATACCATACATCACGACCCAAGATGCAAACGTCCTTCTTTCATCTCAACAACTATCAGTCTGTTTGCCTTTCCATACCCTCAACAGCCAGGTGCAGTTCTGTAAACCTTGAAAAGATTAGAAAACATTTAAACCTCAAAGAAAAATATATGGATCACTTTATAAAAACAAAAGGCTGACTATGAATGTGAGAAAGGAGAAAAGGATGAGGAAAAAGTTTCAGTAAGCTCACATCTGTCAAGAAGATAGACTTCACATGCCTCAGTGTTTTCTTTATCACCTAAATAAATTGAACCATCAACTGGAAAAAGGTCACATAGCAGACAGGACTGTGTGATTTTAAAGCTGTTAGATCTCCCCTTCTCCATTAGAGCTTGACAATAATGTCAGTCTAAGGGCAAATAAAGAAAGTGAGAGTTGGAGAGACTTATTACAGATGCATGGAGTTGGGCTTGTTTGGTTGTGGAGGTTTTTTTTATTTTAAGAGTTCATGTAACCCATTGTGTACCTTAGTGATCAAAAAGACAACTCCTCACATCCATAGCCCACGGCTCTCCCACTTTTCACTACAGAAACAGGTAGGCAGCACTCCCAAGCTTTGCATTTTCGAGGCATCTGATTGATTTAACAAGTTGAACTGGAAGCCCAAGCTAAAGGATAGCATGTAATGCAGAAACTAAAGCAAAAACTCCTAAATTACAGAAAACTAAGGATAACGCACCAACAAGTACAACAGTCATAGTCAACGGTAGCCTGATCGCTTCTGTAACTCTATTTCCGTTCAAAGCAGATCACGGGGTGGACAACAATGCAACTAATTTGATTTAGCTGTGAGGAAAGAACTATATACTACCCATACTTTCTAGAGAAGAACTTAAACTGAGTGACTGCAAAAGTCCATGCTAAAAATAACACGTGTTGGCAACTATCAGAAACGATCAGGACATTTTTCAATGAAAAGAAAAACGTCAGACACGAACAGTTGTGTCTTGTCTACACTGAAAACTAAGGAAAAACAAAAAAGAGACACTACAGCGTGGTGCCAGCCCATCACAGGAAGGCAGCCTTGCACCAGTTTCAGGCAGAACATTGTTTGGTTTCCACAGTTGTAGCAAAAATGGCTTTGTTTTGAGAAATACCATGTCGTAGCTAAGTAGCTCACCAACGCTCTGTCTTGATGAGGAAAGAAAATCAAGGCTTTCAACTTGGAGTTAACTCAATAAAGTGAGCATTTATCACATTTGTGAACAGCCAGGACACAAGCCCCACTCACAATTGTGTTACAGTCTGCGGCTGTCAGGGGAAAGAGGTGCTTGTTCAGACTTCCCTCCAGCTGTGCACCCCTTTGGCTTGGCATCCATCAAGTTGTTGTCATTCAAACCCAACAAATAAACCAATTTGAGTCATTTTTTTGGTGGTGCACTCTCTTTAAAAAGCATAAACTTGTTGAGTCAGTGGACCATGAAATGTCTATGACCAAGCCATACCAATAAAATCCATCTGAAACACAAGTGTTTGTTTACACAGAGCTTTCACCTTTTTAATTAAAACAATCCAAGTGCAGGCACATGCATTTAACTGCACTACATTTCAGAGATGCTTCCTTAAAAGCCATTCAGCAAGATGCAGAACTCCACATAAAGCCTTGAGTTTACATTTACATTTCCTTGAGTTTGATCTCTTTTTTCCCAGATAGTTGGCCATGAATATGTATTACTTGACATGACCTCAAAATTAACTAAGCATTTAGATGGTTCATGCAATGTTTTAAAAACACAGCCAATATTCTCCAAGTTTAAATGACGTATTTTCAATTTGACACTGCGAGTTTATGTAAACAACACAGCTGTGTCTTAAGTACACCTCCCTGTTTCCAAAGATGGATCATCCCCAATTGAGATAACCCTCATCACTTTGTGGGTTGGTTTCTGCTCAAAAACTATTTAGCTGCCGTTGATCCTTCCCTACAGCACCTGTGTAAGTGCTGAGTCTATGAAAACAGGGTCATATTGAAATAATTATTCTTCAGTAACACGTGGGTTGAGCCTAACTGTTTCAGTGAAAATACTGGAGCTTACAGCATCCAGACAGCTGCACGCTGCTCAAGGTTTATACCTGGTTTAATTGTCAGCACAATATATAAACATGTGCTTAAATATGAGTAGTTCAACATTTTACTACTAATTACTTCACAAAAACATCCATCCACAGACTTGTCTATTATGGATATTTATTCAGCTTACATCCAGAAAAATTTTCTATCTTTTATTAACCGAATCGGACAGATGATGCTTCTTTATCCCAGCGTCAGTGTTTGTAGCCTCCGACACACGGAGGATGTCAGCAGAAAGGTGGAGTTCAAACGGAGCT